GCAGTTTAACACACTTCTCTGCCCTTCTTTTTCAGCAGTTACCCACCCAAAACCCTACGCAGAGTCGCAGTCTAACACACTTCTCTGCTCCTCCATTTCAGGAGTTACTTAGTGAAAATCCTATAGTGACGGTGTCTGCCCCCCGACCATCGAAATTATTTAAAAAGGTAAACAGAAGAAGAGGAGCTGTGCATAAAAACCTCATAAAAATTAAAACCACAAGAGCAATAGTGCAAACGAATAGGAGAGTTAAATGTGGACTCTTAAACATCAGATCTCTCTCTTCTAAAGGTGTACTAGTAAATGAACTAATATCAGATTATGATATTGATTTATTTGGTCTTACTGAAACCTGGCTGGGTGATGGAGAATATGTTAGCCTAAATGAATCCACCCCTCCCAGTCATATTAATACTCACATTCCTCGAGGCACAGGCCGAGGAGGTGGAGTTGCAGCTATCTTCGACTCTACCCTACTAATCAGCTCTAAACCTAAACTAAACTATAACTCATTTGAAAGTCTTGTTCTTAGTCTTTCGCACCCAAGTTGGAAATCACTGCAACCAATTCTTTTTGTTATAGTGTACCGAGCACCTGGCCCGTACTCTGAATTCTTATCTGTTTTTGTCAACTTTAGTCCTTAAAACGGACAAAGTTATTATTGTAGGGGATTTTAATATTCATGTGGACGTTGAGAATGACAGCTTCAGTACTGCGTTTATCTCTCTGTTAGATTCCATCGGCTTCTCTCAGAGTGTTCATGAACCGACTCACTGTTTTAACCACACCCTCGACCTTGTTTTGGTGTGTGGTGTTGAAGTTGAACATTTAGTGGTGTTCCCACAGAATCCCTCTTTGTCCGACCACTGTTTGATAACTTTTGAGTTTGTATTGCTGAACTACACGCCATTGGGCAAAAATTTCTATACAAGATGTCTGTCTGATAGTGCCATAGCTAAATTTAAGGATGCGATTCCATCAGCTCTAAATACATTATCTAGTCACAAAGTAATGGAGGACTCCTATGCTAATTTCAGTCCCTCCCAAATCGATCATCTTGTTGATAGTGCTGCAGGCTCGCTGCGAATGACACTCGACTCTGTAGCCCCTCTAAAAAAGAAAATACTAAAACAAAGACGGTTAGCTCCATGGTATAATACTGAAACTCGCAAATTAAAGCAAATATCACGGAAACTTGAGAGGAATTGGCGTTCTACCAAAGTGGAAAATTCTCGTTTAATTTGGCAAGATAGTCTTAAAACTTATAGGAAGGCCCTCCGTAATGCCAGAGCAGCGTACTACTCGTCATTAATAGAGGAAAATAGGAACAACCCAAAGTTTCTTTTCAGCACTGTAGCCAGGCTGACAGAGAGTCACAGCTCTATTGAGCCAAGTATTCCCATAGCTCTCAGTAGTTACGATTTCATGAGCTTCTTTAATAATAAAATTCTAGCTATTAGAGACAAAATTCACCAAGACCTGCCCTCAATTGGCACCGACTTATCTCTTAACTCAGGAACCTTAGAAACAGCTGTAGAACCAGATACATGTTTAGACTGTTTTGCTTCCCTCAATCTTTACCAACTAACTTCAATAATTTCTTCATCTAAACCATCAACCTGCCTCTTAGACCCCATCCCGACTAGGTTGCTTAAAGATGTTTTACCCTTAGTCAGCACCTCTATACTAGATATGATCAATCTATCTTTATCAACAGGCTATGTACCACAGTACTTTAAAGTAGCTGTAATTAAACCTCTTCTGAAAAAGCCCAAACTTGATCCGGATGTTTTAGCCAACTATAGACCTATATCTAACCTTCCATTTCTCTCTAAGGTTCTGGAGAAAGCAGTTGCTAAACAGCTGTGTGACTTTCTACAGAGCAATAGTTTATTTGAGGATTTTCAGTCAGGATTTAGAGCTCATCATAGCACAGAGACAGCACTGGTGAAAATTACTAACGACCTCCTTATTGCATCAGACAAAGGACTTGTCTCTGTACTGGTTTTATTAGATCTTAGTGCTGCATTTGATACCATTGACCATCAGATCCTATTGCAGAGACTGGAATATTTCATTGGCATTAAAGGAACCGCTCTAAGCTGGTTTAAGTCCTATTTATCAGATCGATTTCAGTTTGTACATGTTAACGATGAGTCCTCCATGCACGCCAAAGTTACTCATGGAGTTCCTCAAGGATCTGTCCTTGGACCAATCCTCTTCACTTTATATATGCTTCCTTTAGGCAATATTATCAGGAAACATTCCATAAGCTTTCATTGTTATGCAGATGATACTCAGTTATATCTATCGATCAAGCCAGATGAAACTCATCAGTTAGCTAAACTTCAAATGTGCCTTCAGGATGTTAAAACCTGGATGACCTGTAATTTTCTCATGTTAAACTCAGATAAAACTGAAGTTATTGCTCTGGGGCCTAAGCACCTCCGTGACGCATTATCTAAAGATATAGTTTCCCTGGATGGCATCGCCCTGGCCTCCAGCACCACTGTGAGGAATCTTGGAGTTATCTTTGATCAGGACATGTCGTTTAAGTCTCACATTAAGCAAATTTCAAGGACCGCCTTTTTTCACCTACGTAATATTGCGAAAATCAGGAACATCCTGTCTAAAAATGATGCAGAAAAACTAGTCCATGCATTTGTTACTTCTAGGCTGGATTACTGCAATTCCTTATTATCAGGCTGCTCGAAAAAGTCCGTTAAGACTCTTCAGCTGATCCAGAATGCTGCAGCACGTGTTCTGACAGGAACCAGGAAAAGAGATCACATTTCTCCTGTTTTAGCTTCTTTGCATTGGCTTCCAGTAAAATCCAGAATAGAATTTAAAATCATTCTTCTTACCTACAAAGCTCTTAATGGTCAGGCACCATCTTATCTTAAAGAGCTCATAGTACCTTACTACCCCACCAGAGCACTGCACTCCCAGAATGCAGGGTTACTTGTGGTTCCTAGAGTCTCCAAAAGTAGACTAGGAGCCAGAGCGTTCAGCTATCAAGCTCCTCTCCTGTGGAACCAGGTTCCAGTTTGGGTTCAGGAGGCAGACACCATCTCCACATTTAAGAGTAGGCTTAAGACTTTCCTCTTTGATAAAGCTTATAGTTAGGGCTGGCTCAGGTAGTCCTGAACCATCCCTTAGTTATGCTGCTATAGGCCTAGACTGCCGGGGGATTTCCCATGATGCACTGAGCTCCTCTCTCCTCTACTTTCTCTCCCTCTGTATGCAACCTTATCCCATTATTGCATGTTACTAACACAACTTCTCCCCTTTCTGGTAGTCTTGTGCTTTCTCGTCTCTCTCCTCTCTCCTATCACTTCCTGCAGGTTTTCTGGCTCTGGAGCTGTGGAGTCTGGAGCTGTGGCTGCGGGTCACCTGCTGCCCCCGTGTTCCTGCTCGACACCCTCTGCTGCAACGACTATTGTTGCTAGTCTTATTGTTATTATTGTTATTATAATCATTAACATTACGATGGTTACCATTAACACTATTATAAATATCTGTACCATTTTTCATTTAGTCTATAGCAACATTACCTTCACTGTGTGTACCTCTGTGTGTATATTGTGTAGGCTGCCTCCCTCCCCTCTCTCTCTCCTTACATCTCTCTCTCTCTCTCCTTACATCTCTCTCTCTCTCTCTCTCTCTCTCTCTCTCTCTCTCTCTCTCTCTCACCCCAACCGGTCGAGGCAGATGGCCGCCCACCCTGAGCCATGGTTCTGCTCGAGGTTTCTGCCTCTTAAAAGGAAGTTTTTCCTTGCCTCTGTCGCCTAGTGCTTGCTCTTGGTGGGAACTGTTGGGCTTCTGTAAATAACATCACAGAGTACGGTCTAGACCTGCTCTTTTATGAAAAGCGCTGTGAGATAACTGTTGTTGTGATTTGGCGCTATATAAATAAAATTGAATTGAATTGAACTTTACTCCAGTGGCCTCCACAGTCACCAGATCTCAATCCAATAGAGCCCCTTTGGGATGTGGTGGAACGGGAGATTCTCATCATGGATGTGCAGCCGACAAATCTGCAGGAACTGTGTGATGCTGTCATGTCAATATGGACCAAAGTCTCTGAGGAAGGTTTCCAACACCTTGTTAAAAGTACGCCATGAAGAATTAAGGCAGTTCTGAAGTCCAATCCGGTACTAGAAAGGTATACCTTACAAAGTGGCCAGTGAGTGTATGTACACTGTGTGCGTGTACACACACACACACACACACACATACATACATACATACATACATGTGATCAGCCTGCAGTGGGCCTATCCTGGCTGAGGGTGTCTTGTGATAAAGTACGGAACACCCAGTGATGTCGAGGTACACAGCTGAAGATGTGTCATAATGGTAGCAACACCAACTAGTGGTCATCTTCAAGAACATCCCCGTTCAAGTCATCTGCAGTGTGATACCTAAGGGATTGTAACATCCAGTCCTGCTACTCGATCTACACCTATCTGGATCTCTGTCCTGAAGTCTACCAGCTATTTACAAAAATGAATTAGATTCTAGAACTAGATTAAAAACACTAGCTCCCTGTCACTAAAGTTTTGCTGTGGACATACAAGGCATTATATGGGCAGGGACCTCTAGCTCTTCCAAGGTCAAGGCTGAACACTAAAGGTTCTCATGCTTTTGCTGTGGTTGCTCCTCAAGTCTGGAAGAGGGGCACACTGATCCAATGCCAGTGGGCGATCCACATTAGATACAGGTTTTCCAGCAGTTATCAGTTACTTTCATCCAATCACAAAGGGCTGCTTAGTTATTCCCATGCAGAGGAATGCAGCACTGCAACCATCTCTGTGTCAGAAGATAACCTGTGTTGAGATTTTGTAATCAGTAGTGGGAGGGAAAAGTCAGATTTGGGAATTTTATACAGCCTCATGTAAAGTCTCAGAGAAGCCAAATCAATCCAGATATTTTAAGCGATCTGTATTGTCCTTGGCTTTTCTTTGTTTGTGCATTAGGACAAATTTGTCCCTTTCTGTTTTGTCTTTCCTGCAAAGCATTTTTGTTGTGATTTAAGTTTGTTTGCTTGCTTATAGTACCGGTCCATCAACCACCGTGTGGATGGCAGCTCACTTCGCCTATATCGATGGTACTACTCCAGGATATGCCAGTGGTAAGTTGCTCAGGCCAAGTCATGTGTGAATAAAACTGGACCTGAGTTTATGTTTGCAATATGTTTTAGGGCTACATTTCTGCAGGGTGAGAAACTTGTTGCTTGTTATTGCCAATGAATTTTTCACTGAAGTCAATCTGTAATGTCACAGTAGGAAAAGTGCAGGGCTAGAAGAAGAAAGAAGGCAAAGTTCTTGTAAACTTTACAGAGGAGCAATAGAAAACATCCTGACTGAAAGGGGGATTGGACAGTGGAAAAAGAGTTTCCATGTTCTTCACGGAGAGGTGCGCCACAGTCCAGCACAGCGTTTGCATTTTTAAGTCACATCCAAGCCATCATCATGAGAATTACTGAAGTCAGTCTATAATGTCACAGTAGGAAAAGTTCAGGGGTAGAAGAAGAAAGAAGGCAAAGTTCTTGTAAACTTTACAGAGGAGCAATAGAAAGCATCCTGACTGGAAACATCACTAACTGGCATGGGATGTGGACGGCCCAGGACCAGAGGGCTCTGCAACGGGTGACTGAAACTGCTCAGAAGATCATTGGTACCAGTGCTTGAAGTGGGCCGGTACACAACGGTACGCAGTACGGGCACCTCAACGTTTTACTCTTTGGCGTACCGGGACTTCTCCCATGCTGCCGGTACTCTCCTCTGCCCTCTCCATTTCAGGTTCTCTGGGCGCTACGTGTTCTTGCCTGCCTGCTAATCTCTGTTGGCGGTGAGAGACGAGGGAGAAGGGTGCTTGGGTGCCTTTCAAGCAGCCGTGTGCAGACAGTAGCTTGTCAATGTCACTTTTCGTGAACCGACCAATCACAGCCTGGATGGGGCAGGACATTCAAAAATTTTGACAGATAGGTGTCGTTTAAACTGGGGATGCTGGGGACATGTCAGAATCAGAATGTCCATCACTTTTTGAAAGCTTTTGTTAAAAATGCTGAAAAACAGCTTGCAACAATAAATGTTGAATAACACGAGAAACAATGTACAATAAGAACACATGCAATGCAACTGAAATATAGAAGAAAGAAATGCATTGTCCAAAAGCTGATTACTGAATTTTATTCCATTTTATTTTTATATTTTGCATTTCCACCAGCCACCTTAATTTAGTTTTCCTTCATATAAATAAAGATATTTCCACCATTAATTGCTGCAGAAAACGTGTTCAGAATGCAGGTGCAAGTGTTTAATGCTCAAAGTCGTCAAACCCCTAATCTGAGCCCTTATGTCTTCACCACTTTACAACACAAAGTGACGCAATCACCAAACTTTTTAAATGTTGAAGTTGTTGTTCTGCATGAATGGTTAACAAATCAGAGACTAACTACCATGTAGAGCATTTCTCCTGCACAATAATTTAATGAATGTCAAGCAGGCAGACTATCCAAATAAAGTGTGACCTGTAAATATACTAATATCATACTAACACTTTACTTTGTATATAATGTTATATTTACCAGTTTCCCCTTGAGGATGTGGATAGTGCGGGATAACCTTGCATAATAAAATGATTAAATCAGTTTCAGCTTCCTGGTATTGTGCATGCTGGCTCACTGCCACACTGCCATGTCTTACTCAGACAGACTATCCAGATTATCAGACAGACTTTAATTGTCTCCATAAAGGTTAATCAGGGAAATAACAGAGGGAAATCTGTTAAATAAATGAAAAAAGTAGAGCCCGACCGATATGGGTTTTTGGGGGCCGATGCCGATATTAAGTGAAAAAGAGCCGATTTATGAGCCGATATTTTGATTTTGAGAATGATTTGGATAGTAGACCCCTTTACTGTATAAACTACACTTAGAACAGGCCGATATTGAAAGCTGGTATGTATGTGGGCTATAAAACTGTTTCCTAAATGGATTATGTTAATAAAATCGATTACAGTCAAAAAAAGTGAACATGTAAACAATTGCACATCAACAAATATTTGCTACTGGAAGGTGCAACTTTTTCAGCCGTCTGTAAACAGAGAGAGTGAGAGAGAATAAGCATGTGTATTTCACTTTACACATAATCACTACAGGAATGTCTGCAACGAGGACCTCCAACTTTGAGATTTCATTTAACGTTATAACTACAACCAGAGCCGTTACAGCTCTGACTACTCCGTTTCACATCTGCAACGTCACATAAAGAGGAGCTACAAGAAGCCGTGTTAGATTTTTGGTCAGCTCATGTTTATTTACATGTCAGCTCTGGTTTAATCATTTCAGACACACCGCCTGCAGACAGGCGACCCGCAGATATATTTAGAATACGTCAGAAACTATATTTTAATGGCTCATTAATGTTAGCGCTCCTCCACTGATAAACACGGCATTAGCTTTGTGGCTAATTGAGCAACGGTCAGCGTTAGCTGTTGTAACATTACGTGATTTCAGAGAATAGTTAGAAGTGATGAACTAGAGACAAATGTGGACCGTTCACTAGAACTGCCAGACTGTTTAAGAATAAATCTACAGTTAGTCTGTCAGCAGCTTCCAGCACCCAGCTACCGTAACATTAAACTGCTGTGAGCTGGTAGGAAGCCGGGAGAGTGCAGTGAAAAATGGGAGGGTTAGCAAGTCATGAATGTTTTCAGGAGGGGAGAAGTGACTGGGTCTGTTTTTATTATAATTAGTCATGTAATTAACTTGACAAAAGACCGACTCACCGCTCACACAGCCTTCTGCCTGTTTCTAAATGCTGCATGTAAGCTCTGGTAAACTCCGGTCAGCAGATTGTTTTCTTCTGTGGTGAGGCAGTGTAGTTAATAGGGGAGCTGCAGGTGATCGCCCTCTGGTGGGCAAACTATGTAACACCCATGACATAGGTGAAGGATCTGACTCTGTGTTTCTTTTTTAATAATCATATATCTGCCGTTACAATCGTCCGATGGAGATTAAATGCAATTAGCTCATATGGGCCGATAATGTCGGCCGGCCGATATATCGGTCGGGCTCTAGAAGAAAGTTGCGTGTGGGGCTTTTGCTCACTTGATCAGTAAACAGTAAACACAGATTTTCAGTAGATGGTGAATCATAAAACTATGGAGCCCCTGAAGTCCCTTAAGATTATATTTTGTATCTTGTGGGAACAAGTTATTATCTTGTGCGCGCAAGATAATAACTTGTGAGTTCAAGATAAAAAAAAAAATCTTATCTTCAGTGGCTTCATATAAAACAAATTAAATATAATATACAAATCAAATATAGAACTCGGCCGTGATATACTTTTAATCTGTTGTCGATCTTCACTCTTTATGTAACTGTAGTGATGTGATTTATCAGATCAGTCTGATCAGCTGCAGTGTCCAATAAATATAGCATCTATCCAATAAGGGGGTCGGTCAGTAAAAGACTCGTGCATCTTCGCTCTTAGCTCCTCAGAGATCGCTCCTCACTCCTCTCTCCTCAGAGCACAAATAAGAGCTTTGGGACAGTCTGCAATATGGCGGTGCAGAACAGCTTCCAGTTCAAACTAGGAATCAAGGAGCGAGGAAACGACAAATAAGGGAATTTAGAAGCACCCAGTGTGTCAGTGTTCTTTAAGGGGTAGTTCAACATTTGGGAAACGTTTGCTTTCTTGCCAAGAGTTAGATGAGACCATCAATATCTCTTTCATATGTTTCCATTACCTCTGATGCTGGAGCCAAGATAGCCTAGCTTAGCATAAAGTGCTGGTAGGTTAACTTTTGGACAGAGCCAGGCTAGCTGTTTCCCCTGTCTTCAGTCTTTATGCTAAGCTAAACTAACTTTCTCCTGACTCTAGCATAACGATATGACAGTGGTATCAGTCTTCTAACTAACTTCTAAGTCATCTAACTCATCAACACATGGAGTTGAATGACAGTTTTCTTTTGTCTAAGCCATATTTCTACTTCCATTTGTCCAACGATTCACCCATCTTTCTCTCCCCCAGGGGCTTGGGCCTAACCATTGCGGTGGTTTTGCTGCTGGCGTTTGTGGAGCGCCCATCCTCCCTGTCTGTGTCTTCCGACCCACGGCATCGCTCTCCGCCTTGGAATCCTCCCTGTGGACTCACCGAGAGCATTGAGATGGTCTGCCTCCTCATCTTCTCTCTTGATCTTGCTGTCAAGGTAAGTACAGCTAGGGTGGAAAACATTTGCTCCCAGGACATTAGCAGCTGTCTGGTTGAACAACGGTTTTGATGTGGAATTTACTGCATTGGATGTTTCCAAATAATCTTGCCTCTTTTTAAAGTTATTTGCCTACTTATTTGTCCATTTGAATCACTGCTTCACTTTGTCCACAGAGCTACTTGATTGGCTGGGAGGAATTCAGAAAGAGCAAATGGCTGATTGGCTACACAGTAGTGATTTCAGCCTCCATCATCGACTGGGTGTTGTCTGTCAGCATGGTGTGTGATGAGGTGAGGCTGCCTTCTGTCACGCTTGTCTATGCATGTTGTGCTTAGAGCAAACACCAGTATCCATTAAAGAGAATTAGTGCTCATACAGACGTTAGTCAAAAACATCTTTAGCTTGCAGACAAAGAAAAGCTTTAGATATACAGCATGTTCATAGCTGTAGAAAAGTCAGTGGGACAAACCAACATTTCATTCTTGTCTGTTCTTGTAACTGTGAAGCATCATCAGTCATGGCCCAATTCAAAGTTTGTACCAAGGACAGTCCAAATAACTGGACTTTATCGACGACACTTTTTCACAAAATTTCAAGTTGAAAAGTGTCCCAGCATGCATTTCACATCAACAAGTAACAGCGATATCGGAGAATATGAGCCAGTTTCACAATTCTTATAATATTTTACGTACAGCTGTTTTAATTGTCAACAAATTTCTTAATAAAATTAAGAACTATTTAAATTTAAAATATTTTGTTAATTTATCAAAATGAGCTCTGAGATCTGGAAGGAGCTTTGAGTAGAGCTGCCTCTCTTTTGCTTCCAAAGGAGCCACTTGAGGTGGTTGAAGCATCCGATAAGGATGCATCCAGGGTGCCTTTCTTTTCTCATCTGGCCTGGGAACGCCTTGGAATCCCCCAGGAGCAACTGGAAAGTGTTGCTGGGGAGAGGGATGTCTCGAATACCCTGCTGGCCCTTTAGATATATACAGTGTATTTTTTATATTTATATATATATATATATATATACTGCTCAAAAAATATTTCACATGCTGTTGTGCAAATGGAATAGACAACAGGTGGAAATTATAGGCAATTAGCAAGACACCCCCAATAAAGGAGTGGTTCTGCAGGTGGTGACCACAGACCACTTCTCAGTTCCTATGCTTCCTGGCTGACGTTTTGGTTACTTTTGAATGCTGGCGGTGCTTTCACTCTAGTCGTAGCATGAGTGGCTCAGGTAGTGCAGCTCATCCAGGATGGCACATCAATGCGAGCTGTGGCAAGAAGGTTTGCTGTGTCTGTCAGCGTACTGTCCAGAGCATGGAGGCGCTACCAGGAGACAGGCCAGTATATCAGGAGACGTGGAGGAGGCCGTAGGAGGGCAACAACCCAGCAGCAGGACCGCTACCTCCGCCTTTGTGCAAGGAGGAGCAGGAGGAGCACTGCCAGAGCCCTGCAAAATGACCTCCAGCAGGCCACAAATATGCATGTGTCTGCTCAAACGGTCAGAAACAGACTCCATGAGAGTGGTATGAGGGCCCGACGTCCACAGGTGGGGGTTGTGCTTACAGCCCAACACCGTGCAGGACGTTTGGCATTTGCCAGAGAACACCAAGATTGGCACATTCGCCACTGGCGCCCTGTGCTCTTCACAGATGAAAGCAGGTTCACACTGAGCAAATGTGACAGACGTGACAGAGTCTGGAGACGCCGTGGAGAACGTTCTGCTGCCTGCAACATCCTCCAGCATGACCGGTTTGGCGGTGGGTCAGTAATGGTGTGGGGTGGCATTTCTTTGGGGGGCCGCACAGCCCTCCATGTGCTCGCCAGAGGTAGCCTGACTGCCATTAGGTACCTAGATGAGATCCTCACACCCCTTGTGAGACCATATGCTGGTGCGGTTGCAAGACAATGCTAGACCTCCTGTGGCTGGAGTGTGTCAGCAGTTCCTGCAAGAGGAAGGCATTGATGCTATGGACCGGCCCGCCCGTTCCCCAGACCTGAATCCAATTGAGCACATCTGGGACATCATGTCTCGCTCCATCCACCAACGCCACGTTGCACCACGGACTGTCCAGGAGTTGGCGGATGCTTTAGTCCAGGTCTGGGAGGACCGCCACCTCATCAGGAGCATGCCCAGGCGTTGTAGGGAGGTCATACAGGCACGTGGAGGCCACACACACTACTGAGCCTCAATTTGACTTGTTTTAAGGACATTACATCAAAGTTGGATCGGCCTGTAATGTGGTTTTCCATTTTGAGTGTGACTCCAAATCCATGGGTTGATAAATTTGATTTCCATTGATAATTTTTGTGTGATTTTGTTGTCAGCACATTCAACTATGTAAAGAAAGGAGTATTTAATGAGATTATTTCATTCATTCAGCCCTGTGATGGACTGGTGACCTGCTCAGGGTGTACCCCGCCTTTCACCCAATGCCAGCTGGCATTGGCTCCACCCTGTATGCAGGATAAGCGGTTGATAAGCGATGGATGGATGGATTTTATTCATTCAGATCTAGGATGTGTTATTTTAGTGTTCCCTTTATTTTTTTGAGCAGTGTATATATATATTAGGGCTGACCCTGAATAGTCGAAGATTTAATGCTTTGATGGGCAGAACCTGATTCGGCTGTCAATCTCACAGTTGAAGCTTTGCAGTGAAACAAGGATCATGCCATTTTGGCAATATGGGGGTGCTCAACGTCTGATTTTTTCTCCCAATAAGTTAATATACAACCTATTGCAACATACATTTCAATGTTTAATGCTGTAAATAAATATGTAAAAAGGATATAACTTTCAATAAATGTTGCGTGAATAAATCCAAAATTGTAACCCTAACCCTGGGTCATCAGAGTCCCAGCTTCACTGGTGTTGTTCCGAGTTTTCCTCACCTCGCGGGACTTTCGGATAATTTATCACTGTTGATGAACCACATTAAGAATATTTAACTTTTTATATATATATATATATATATATATATATATATATATACACACACAAACACACACGCACAGTATAAAATGTGTGTGTATATGTATATCTGTTTAATCACCTGAGCTGAAAGAGCACTGTTGTCCCATTTGCGAACTCCTTTTACAGCATTAATTTGCCAAGTACCAACTCCCAATGACACAACTTTGAACGTAGCCTACTCTGTGTTGAGACAGGCCTAGTGAATCCATGCCACCCTGCATTTAAAAAGGGATCTTGTCTTTTCTCTGTCAGAGGCGTGAGACCTCTGACATGTATAGCAATTGTAAGTCGCTTTGGTTAAAAGCGTCAGCTAAATGAATAAATGTAAATGTATGAATTTAAAAATGTGCGCAGTGAGGGAGAAAGTGCTGCTATAGATTTGTACAGTTGGAGTAGTTATTTCAGGCATCAGTTGTGTAAAGATGGGGTTAGGTGGATGTTCAGATGTACATGAAACTCTCCCAGTTCAATCATCAGTACAAAAGATTAGAAACTCATCTGGTTCTTTGATGAAAAGTCAGAAGGTACAAGGCACATACCTAAAAATATAAAACTAGAACTCCCAAGGAGAATTTCAGTAAGAATCGTCCACTCACAGAGCTTTAGAATCTGTGGTGTTAACCTCTAACTGTTAGCAGACACTAAAGAAAACTAATAAAACAGTCTGCAGTTTGGATCAGTTTCACACCACAGATTTTCACTTTCAGATTCTGGATCAGATCAGCACTGTCACCAATAGGGGCGGCTGTGGCTCAGGAGGTAGAGGGGGTTGCCCGTTAATCGGAAGGTCGATTCAATCCCTGGCTCCTCCAGGCTGCATGTCGAAGTGTCCTTGGGCAAGATACTGAACCCCGAATTGCCCCTGGTGGCTGTTCGCCAGTGTATGAATGTGTGTGAATGCAGATGTAGTGTAAAAGTGCTTTGAATGGTCGAAAAGACTAGAAAGGCGCTATAAAAATACAGTATAGTGCACAATATCTGCAGTGCAGTGTTTTGTTCCGAGATGTGGCAACACAGCACCTCATGGGTATTGTCATATTTAGAGCCATCCACCATACCTAAACAACTAAAGTTGAAATAAGTAAAACTGGTGATCAATGCGTAAACCTACAGTTTTTTAACTGATTTAAAAGAGATAAAGTACACCCCTCACATTTTTGTAAATATTTGATTAAAATATTCTGTACCGTGCACTTATCTGCCTACGCTTGTACTGTGCACGTTGCCGTTTACTTTGCAACAACTCCCAGTGTGTTCTCTGAGGCCACACTCCCATGTTACACTCAGAAACAGTCCCAGCTCGTTATTGATCCATGCAACAAAAAACAACTGGTCTGATGCTTAGTCAGTATTTATTTATTCTTTCGCCAAATCTTCTGTAACTACGGAATAGACCATCTGCTTGATGTTTACATGCCCAGTGATTGTCTTTGGGAAATAGACGTATGAGTGCTGCCAGCATTGCTGCAGAGGTTGAAGGGGTGGGGGGTGGGGGGTCACCTGTCAGTGCTCAGACCATACGCCGCACACTGCATCAAACTGGTCTGCATGGCTGTCGTTCCAGAAGGAAGCCTCTTCTAAAGAACAATTTGCTGAAGACAAGTAGACTAAGGACACATATTACTGGAGCCATGTCCTGTGTACTGATGAGACCAAGATAAACTTATTTGGTTCAGATGGTGTCAAGCGTGTGTGACAGCAACCAGGTGAGTCAAGCATGCTGGTGGGAGTGTCCTGGTCTGGGACTCCATGAGTCCTGCCGGCACTGCGGAGCTACAGTTCACTGAGGGAACCATGAATGCCAACATGTACTGTGACTGTCACGTGTTTGTGGTGAAGGCAGGGTGGAGCAGATTGGAGGACCCAAACGCAGGACACAGAGCGGAGCAGGTCTGGTTCAGTGGTTTTAATATAACAAAAAGCGAGCACACTTACAAACAGAGTGGCTGATAGACTGAGTCCAAAAACAAGGGCTGTCCAACAGAAATACAAAATCCAAAATCCAATAACGGCAGGGAAACGGGGAGAGACGACGAGTGAGGCTGACGACACAAAACACACTGCTACACAGGGTGACAACATACAATGACCTGACAAAGACAAGACAGAAGCACCAGGTATATATACACACAGGGACTAACGAGCAGGGCGGGAGCAACACAGGTGAAAGACATGAGGCTAATGAGGCACAGGCAGGGAGAGAGAGCAGGGGAAAACAGAGACAGACATGCAGAGGGATAACTGGGGTAACAGACATGACAAGGAAAAACAAAACAAAAAGTCTCAAAGGGCCAACTACCGGCAGGGCAAGGCAGTTCAGGAGGCCGACCAAGGCGGCCAGAGGTGAACAAAAGTTCAGGGGGCAGACCCGGAGGTCGACACAGCAGACCAGGAGGGCAAGAGCCAAACCAGGGTGGGCGGAGGGAGGACAGGAGGAGGGCCAGAAAAAACAAAAAACCCACAGTCCAAGGAGCAGACAGAAGGGGACCAGAGTACAGGGGGGAGGTCAAACAGGCAGGGCAAGGCAGTTCAGCAGGCTGACCGAGGCATCCAGTGGGGAACAAAAGTTCAGGGGGTCGTCCTGGAGGATAACCCATGAGGCCGGGCAAATCAGGGTGAGAACAGAGTTCAGGAGGCCGTCCCGGAGGACGACCCAACAGGCCGGGCAGAACAGGGAGGCAACAGCGTTCAGGAGGTCGCCTGGGAGGACGACCCCACTGGGCGGGAGGACCAGAGGGTCCACAGAGTTCAGGTGGCCGTCCCGGAGTACGGCCCTGGAGGCCGGACTGTTCAGGGGGACGGCAGGAAGGCCAACAAAGAGGCTGGAAACCCACTGGAGGCCAAGCGGGGGACCAGCAAAGGTGGCGAATCCTCCCTGAAGGCCGGCGGCGAAGGTGAGACCTCTCTGGAGGCCGGGCAGGGAGCCGGCGGCGAAGGCGAGACCTCTCTGGAGGCCGGGCAGGGGGCCGGCGGCGAAGGCGAGACCTTTCTGGAGGCCGGGCAGGGGGCCAGAGACAGAAACTAATCCTCCCTGGTGGTCAGCAGCAAAGAAGAGATCGCTCCGGAGACTGAGCAGGAGGCCGGCGATGAAGGCGAGATCTCTCCAAAGGTCTCAGCGGGGGTTGCAGATGACGGAAGGGACCCACCAGAGGCCGAAGAAGGCGAGGCTTCACCAAAGGTCGGGCCGGTGACCAGCGTAGGGAGCCTGGAATCTCCGGTGGCAGAGCACAGCTGAGGACCACGGACTGAGCTGCTCGGCTGAGGACCACGGGCGAGACACGAGGTGCTGGAGTCGGTCTGACCACCGACTGGACAGCTGGGCTGGGGACCGTGGACCGGACACGCAGAGCTGGAGTAGGTCTGACCACCGACGAGGGAACAGGAGTTGGCTGGGCCACCAACGAAGCTGGTGTTGGTTGGACCACCGACGAGGGAACAGGAGTCGGCTGGGCCATCGGCGAAGCAGGTGCCGGTCGGACCACCGACGAGGGAACAGGATTCGGCTGGGCCACCGGCGAAGCAGGTGCCGGTCGGACCACCGACGGAGCACGAGGAACAGGAGTGGGCTTGGCCACCAACGAAGCTGGTGTTGGTCGGGTCATTCTGTCACGTGTTTGTGGTGAAGGCAGGGTGGAGCAGGTTGGAGGACCCAAACGCAGGACACAGAGCGGAGCAGGTCTGGTTCAGTGGTTTTAATATAACAAAAAGTGAGCACACTTACAGAGTGGCTGATGGACAGCCCTTGTTTTTGGACTCAGTCTAACAGAAATACAAAATACAAAATCCAATAACGGCAGGGAAACAGGGAGAGACGACGAGTGAGGCAGACGACACAAAACACACTGCTACACAGGGTGACAACATACAATGACCCGACAAAGACAAGACAGAAACACCAGGTATACAGTGGGTACGGAAAGTATTCAGACCCCTTTAAATTTTTCACTCTTTGTTTCATTGCAGCCATTTTCCAAAAATCAAAAAAGTTCATTTTATTTCTCAGTAATGTACACCCAGCACCCCATCTTGACAGAAAAAAACAGAAATGTAGAAATTTTTGCAAATTTATTAAAAAAGACACCTGTCTATATAAGACCTTACAGCTCACAGTGCATGTCAGAGCAAATGAGAATCATGAGGTCAAAGGAACTGCCTGAAGAGCTCAGAGACAGAATTGTGGCAAGGCACAGATCTGGCCAAGGTTACAAAAAAATTTCTGCTGCACTTAAGGTTCCTAAGAGCACAGTGGCCTCCATAATCCTCAAATGGAAGACGTTTGGGACGACCAGAACCCTTCCTAGAGCTGGCCGTCCGGCCAAACTGAGCTATCGGGGAAGAAGAGCCTTGGTGAGAGAGGTAAAGAAGAACCCAAAGGTCACTGTGGCTGAGCTCCAGAGATGCAGTCGGGAGATGGGAGAAAGTTGTAGTAAGTCAACCATCACTGCAGCAATCCACCAGTCGGGGCTTCATGGCAGAGTGGCCCGACGGAAGCCTCTCCTCAGTGCAAGACACATGAAAGCCCGCATGGAGTTTGTTAAAAAACACCTGAAGGACTCCAAGATGGTGATAAATAAGATCCTCTGGTCTGATGAGACCAAGATAGAACTTTTTGGCCTTAATTCTAAGCGGTATGTGTGGAGAAAACCAGGCACTGCTCATCACCTGTCCAATACAGTCTCAACAGTGAAGCATGGTGGTGGCAGCATCATGCTGTGGGGTGTTTTTCAGCTGCAGGGACAGGACGACTGGTTGCAATCGAGGGAAAGATGAATGCGGCCAAGTACAGGGATATCCTGGACGAAAACCTTTTCTAGAGTGCTCTGGACCTCAGACTGGGCCGAAGGTTTACCTTCCAACAAGACAATGACCCTAAGCACACCGCTAAAATAACGAAGGAGTGGCTTCACAACAACTCCGTGGCTGTTCTTGAATGGCCCAGCCAGAGCCCTGACTTAAACCCAATTGAGCATCTCTGGAGAGACCTGAAAATGGCTGTCCACCAACGTTTACCATCCAACCTGACAGAACTGGAGAGGATCTGCAAGGAGGAATGGCAGAGGATACCCAAATCCAGATGTGAAAATCTTGTTGCATCTTTCCCAAAACGACTCATGGCTGTATTAGATCAAAAGGGTGCTTCTACTAAATACTGAGCAAAGGGTCTGAATACTTATGACCATGTGATATTTCAGTTTTTCTTTTTTAATAAATTTGCAAAAATTTCTACATTTCTGTTTTCTGTCAAGATGGGGTGCTGAGTGTACATTACTGAGAAATAAAATGAACTTTTTTGATTTTTGGAAAATGGGTGCAATGAAACAAAGAGTGAAAAATTTAAAGGGGTCTGAATACTTTCCGTACCCACTGTATATACACACAGGGACTAACGAGCAGGGCGGGAGCAACACAAGTGAAAGACATGAGGCTAATGAGGCACAGGCAGGGAGAGAGAGCAGGGGAAAACAGAGACAGACATGCAGAGGGATAACTGGGGTAACAGACATGACAAGGGTTACCAAACACTAGACGACAGACAAGACAGACCCCCAAAATCCAACATACTATAAGGAAGATACTAACTAAAAAGTGCAACACAAAGAATGGCTGTCCGGCAGAGTGTGACAGTGACATACTGAAGCAGAGCATGATCCCCTTCCCTTCAGAGACTGGGCCGCAGGGCAGTATTCCAACATGATAACGACCCCAAACACACCTCCAAGACGACCACTGCCTTGCTAAAGAAGCTGAGGGTAAAGGTGATGGACTGGCCAAGCATGTCTCCAGACCTGAATCCTTTTGAGCATCTGTGGGGCGTCCTCAAACAGAAGGTGGAGGAGCGCAAGGTCTCTAACATCCACCAGCTCCATGATGTCGTCATGGAGGAGTGGAAGAGGACTCCAGTGGCAACCTGTGAAGCTCTGGTGAACTCCAGGCCCAAGAGGGTTAATAAACATATGATGTCAAAAACCCGGTCAGCAGCATTGTGTTTCTGCTTTGCAAGACCCAATCAGAGAGCCGAGCGTGAGCGGCTGCGTCATCATTTCTAAAGCCGTCTTCACTAAAATGCCCTCCGCAAAACGGGGTCGGCAGCGTTTCCAAACTTCTCCATTTTAAGTCTTCGTTTTCATTGTTGTAGTCTGGACGGGAGGTGCAAACGTAGCAAAAGGTCTCCGTTTTAATTCGAAAACTCAGTAGTGAGGATGGGGCCTTAGAGAATTCTTTGCCATGAGGTGCCATGTTGAACTTCCAGTGAGCAGTTTGAGGAAGTGTGAGAGAGATAACACCAAATTTAACACACCTGATCCCCATTCAGACCAGGGAGGGAAAGTAGCTAATTGGGCCCAATTTGGATATTTTCACTTAGGGGTGTTCTCACTTTTGTTGCCAGCGGTTTAGACATTAATGGCTGTGTGATGTGTTATTTTGAGGGGACAGCAAATTTATATACAAGCTGTACACTTGTAAACACAAATATTTACGTGAGGGGTGTACTCTCTTTTGTGAGATACTGTATATTCTTGTATGGAGTGTATCTTTAAAAAATAGAGAAAGATTTAGATTCTTCACTGACTCCCTAAACTTTTCCGCCCCCCACCCTGAATCTGTGTGTTCTCCTGTCTGTGCAGCGTCATCCTGCTGCTGGCACTCCACCTCTGCCTCTTCACTATGATCGGCATGCTGCTGTTTGCTAAAACTGAGGTAAGTTCATGTCTTTGTGGTAACGTCCCGTTAAATACACAGTAATATACTGTACTGCTGACACTTGTGTCGGCATGTGTGTGTGTGTGTGTGTGTGTCTGGGCGAAAGGCAGGGTACACCCTGGACAGGTCGCCAGTCCACCACAGGGCCACACATAGACAAACAACCAGTCACACGCACATGCACACCTAAGGACAATTTAGAGTCACCAATTAACAACCTGGTCCGCGTGTCTTTGGATGGTGGGAGGAAGCCGGAGCACCCGGAGAGAACCCACGCAGACACGGGGAGAACATGCAAACTCCACACAGAAAGGGGTTCGAACAGATTTAATGTACAGCATTCAAAACCAAATACTGTTGAGAATGCAAACAGTACGTGCTACATTTAATCCATTATGGTGAGACTGATTTATATGTATAAACCATCATGAGTACAAAATGTCAAAACAGTAAATTCATTACAGTAATAAAGTTCATAAAAACATGTTTTTTTTGGCAGAGATGCCTTAAATTGTGAAGTGAAACTGTAACTTCTGGGTTCTGTTGCAGAAGTCAGAAAACTTCTATGGAAATTTCACCATTTGTAATAAAGCAAAAGACAAGAAATGGATCCCTGGAACACAACCTTACTCAGCAGTATGTCATGTGATTCACTCCCCGATAGGGATAGTAAAATGTTTTTAAAAAACGTGTTGTTGCCTCATATTTTTCTTTTCATCAACAGGAGATACAGGTGAGATCAGCGCACATGAGAGGAGTCATAGTCTTAGTCACATCTGAACATAGAGACAAGCTACACACACTCACACACAGCTTGAATTACACGTTAAAGATAAATGTTTGCTAATCAGCTAAGACATCCTACGATTTTAGCTCCTACAGTAATCATCATGGTTGGAAATGTTCTGCCTAATCAGCAGTAATCTGATGACTGCTGTCAGTACATCCACTTGTTTCTGTTTAGTACAAACAGTCGATGCTAATATACATAATTTAGCATGAGTTTACCTAATTCAAATTCACCAGTGTAAATAAATATAGACTTAACAGGTGTCACTGTGTAGGTGCAGCCCACAGTGAACTCACTTGCTGTGTTCCAAATCAAATGCTTTCTCTTTTTACTTTTAGTATGCACTGCAGCTGACCTTACAAAGTACAAATGGGCAGACAATTTATTCATTGAAAAACCATAAAATTAAACAAAATGGAAAGTCATGAGAACAGATAAAATATTTTGGGAACTATACAGTCCATAGAAAGACAACATACATTCCACAGATTAGAAATGAAGGTCTGTAGTTAGGGAATCTTTCTGTTCATGTTTTGGTCCAGATGTCAGTCCAAACGTCCGTCATCAGGAGACGACTGGGGATCCGAGCTGCTTTCCAAGTCCTTAGCTGCCAGGGAGCTCGACAGGCTACTGAGTAAGAGACACACACACAAACGCACACACACACACACAGGGCATCATAGCGTCACTCTGACTCTTCACAAACATGCACGTGTTCAGCAGTAGGTAAATCAATCAATCAAAATCAATATTTGCGTTTATTTACAGGTCAATGCGACAATACTTCTTAGTGACAAATTGTAATTGATGTTTTAACAACTTGATTTTTTTGATTTTAAATTCTTATAAAAGGAGCAGAACACTTCAAACTTACTTTCAACCAAGGTTTTATTTTAAAATATCTTCTTGTAATGTTTGCTGTTGCCGAGGAGTGTTCAGCCCACTTTACATTAAAGTGACGTCTTTAAGCAACCTAGTCAGGGTGGGGTCTAAGAGGCAGGTTGATGGTTTAGATGAAGAAATTATTGTTAATTAAGTTAGTTGGTAAAGACTGAGGGATGCAAAGCAGTCTAAACATACATCTGGTTTTACAGCTGTTTCTAAGGTTGCTGAGTTTAGAGATAAGTCGGTGCAGTCGTAACTACTGAGAGCTATGGGAATACTTGGCTCAATAGAGCTGTGACTCTCTGTCAGCCTGGCTACAGTGCTGAAAAGAAACCTGGGGTTGTTCCTATTTTCCTCAATAAAGACGAGTAGTACGCTGCTCTGGCATTACGGAGGGCCTTCCTATAAGTTTTAAGACTATCTTGCCAAATTAAACGAGAATTTTCCACTTTGGTAGAACGCCAATTCCTCTCAAGTTTCCGCGATATTTGCTTTAATTTGCGAGTTTCAGTATTATACCATGGAGCTAACCGTCTTTGTTTTATTATTTTCTTTTTTAGAGGGGCTACAGAGTCGAGTGTCATTCGCAGCGAGCCTGCAGCACTATCAACAAGATGATCGATTTGGGAGGGACTGAAATTAGCATAGGAGTCCTCCGTTACTTTGTGACTAGATAATGTATTTAGAGCTGATGGAATTGCATCCTTAAATTTAGCTACAGCACTATCAGACAGACATCTTGTATAGAAATTTTTGCCCAATGGCGTGTAGTTCAGCAATACAAACTCAAAAGTTATCAAATAGTGGTCGGACAAAGAGGGATTCTGTGGAAACACTATTAAATGTTCAATTTCAATACCATACACCAAAACAAGGTCGAGGGTGTGGTTAAAACAGTGAGTCGGTTCATGAACACTCTGAGAGAAGCCAATGGAATCTAACAGAGAGATAAACGCAGTACTAAAGCTGTCATTCTCAACGTCCACATGAATATTAAAGTCCCCTACAATAATAACTTTGTCCGTTTTAAGGACTAAAGTTGACAAAAACTCTGCAAATTCAGAGTACGGGCCAGGTGCTCGGTACACTATAACAAAAAGAATTGGTTGCAGTGATTTCCAACTTGGGTGCGAAAGACCAAGAACAAGGCTTTCAAATGAGTTATAGTTTAGTTTAGGTCTAGAGCTGATTAGTAGGCTAGAGTCGAAGATAGCTGCAACTCCACCTCCTCGGCCTGTGCGAGGAATGTGAGTATTAATATGACTGGGGGGGGGTGGATTCATTTAGGCTAACATGTTCTCCATCACCCAGCCAGGTTTCAGTAAGACAAAATAAATCAATATCATAATCTGATATTAGTTCATTTACTAGTACACCTTTAGAAGAGAGAGATCTGATGTTTAAGAGTCCACATTTAACTCTCCTATTCGTTTGCACTATTGCTCTTGTGGTTTTAATTTTTATGAGGTTTTATGCACAGCTCCTCTTCTGTTTACCTTTTTAAATAATTTCGATGGTCGGGGGGCAGACACCGTCACTATTGGATTTTCACTAAGTAACTCCTGAAATGGAGGAGCAGAGAAGTGTGTTAGACTGCGACTCTGCCTCCTGGTCTCAACTCTGGGTTGTCATGGATTTGGTCCACTAATAAACTTGGCCAGATTTCTAGAAATGAGAGCTGCTCCTTCCCAAGTGGGATGGATGCCGTCTCTCCGGATCAGACCAGGTCTTCCCCAGAAGGTCTGCCAATGATCTACAAAGCCCACATCGTTTGCTGGACACCACCTCGACAACCAGCGGCGGAATGACGACATGCGGCTATACATGTCATCACTGGTCAGATTTGGCAGGGGTCCAGAGAAAACTACGGTGTCCGACATTGTTGTTGCATATGTACACACCGACTCAACATTAATCTTAGTGACCTCCGATTGGCGTAACCGGGAGTCATTACCGCCGACGTGAATAACAACTATAGAGATGCTATAGAAATGCTCTATAGAGCTGAGAGGAAATGATGATGATGATGATGATTCTCTGGTTTTGTCCACTGGCAACTATCACATAGTCATTTCATCCATTGCAATATACAAATATTTATTAGTGCAGCTTTAAATTGGAAAATAAATCTGGTTTTGCTAGCTGTTGTTTTCGAATTGGTGAAACATTCAAGTTTTGGAAAGCATTAACAAAGTCTTAATAAGCCTCTGATTTCTCTGAGTGAAACGCTTGGACACCCTGGAGGGTGGCAGTTTCAGTCGGTGAGTTAACACAGTGCTGTTGAAAACTCAGGGGAGAGAGGAGGGCATGAATGCAAAGAGAGGTAAAAAGAGGGTTATCTCACTTAGTGTCTGCATCCTTAGGGCAGAGAGGACTTGCGCAGCTGAGGTCCTCCTCAAGGCTGGGTAGATAGACTACCAGAGTCATGCTTAATTTATCTCAACAGGAACAACAAAGTCAAAGGGAAAAGCCCCAGACATGCAAAGTCCCAGCCCATAGAGCCCTAATGTTTCCACGCAACCGTCTATTTTTCCTTTCCTGCATTGGTATTACCAGTCCTCTGAGTATAATGAACTATTGTATTGATGAGATTGATATTGATCAGACTTTGGGCATGGAACAAGGGTTTCAAACCCCCACACCCTTCTTAACCAACCTCCCACTGATTAAGTATGCAGTCAATGCATTCAGATGGTTAATAGGCGCCATGTCTTAAAGCATATGTGAGATGTGTTTGCCCCATCTGTCCAAATGCTTAGCTGTGCCTTTTGGGTGTAGTGTAGACAAATTCTGCAAGTAGCAGTGAAACACATTTTTCATCCTTCAAATGCATCCACACACAAAAGCATTGGATGCATTCCAAACTTTGAGATTAGTAGGCTAAACACTCCTTGGACTAGTGTGTATTCAAATATAGAGAGAGCTGTTCTTAATGCATGACACCAGCATTGAAGTAGTTTATGGACATCATTTCCAGTAATGGCACATTCTGGAGAGACTAGAGTACCCTGAATGCATCCATTCACAAACTGAGCAAAAATCAACTATATTTTATGTTTCCAGCACTAGTCTTTAATACGTTTTAGATCTTAGATGTTCCTCTGCAGATATATGTTATGTTATGTCTAAAAACACAAACTATAACTTAATCACATAGATTAATAGAGGAAACAAAATCTACCTCAGTGCCATGGAGTCCTGGAAGAGTCTCACAGCTAGCATGCAGGATATATCGCTTCAGACACCTCCTCTGATCTCTGCTTATCAGCACAGATTCCTGTAAGACAATAATATGAGTTTCACAATCATGCCAATAAACCATGCTGGATAGTTTTCCCATTATAATCACTTCAGCTGTCTGCAAATGCACAGCATATGTGGGTTGGATTTAAGGGCTGCAGAGACACATGT